CTATGCTGAGTTATAGTTCTTGTGGACTTTGACTTTGTAGAGAGAAACTATAAAGTTGTCTTACATTGGTGGCTGGAGTGCTTATTGCTTTTCTAGGGGACCTTAGTTTGGTTTCTAGCACCCATGTTGATTGGCTGCCAGCCGTGTATAATTTCAACTACAGAGGATCCAACACTCTTCTGGACTTTGCAGGTACAACACTGACATACACAAAGCCACACTCACACACACATACACACAAAATTTAAAATTAAAAATAAAATTTAAAAAATGTTTTTACAAATACCATTTATATACATATTATATATGTCTCTGTAGATTTGCTTTATAACTAGGTTTTTTTTCCAAAGAAATGATGCAATCCCATTTTAAGACAATATAAATCTTGCCAGTTTGAGTTATCCAGTGTTAGTAGCCAGATTTCTGAACTTGTATGGTTGACACTGTGGTGCTGTCATTGAGCACTTGCCATCATTAGGGCTGTTGGCCTCTGCCTTTGTTCAGTATCACCATGTACATACGCTCTAGGCCAGAGGAAAGCATCCGGCAAGCAGGGGCTTCCAAGTAAAAGCCAAAATAAACAGTGGGCGCTGAAGCTGCTGTAAAGTTCTGTGGACAGTAGTTGCAAGATGCTTTTTGAAAATTGTACATAGTAAGTGGGAAAGTAGGTCACAGTTGATTTTTCATAAAGTCCTGCGCCTGTATACTGGGTGATCAAGTAGGCATTGAGCAACCAGTATGGCTGTAATTGAACAATTTTATATTTCTAGTTTCTGTAAATAGTGGGAGTTTTTTTAAACCATTTGCAATTTTAATACTTCTGGTAATTTCTCTTACCAGAAACACTTAAAGGAATGAGACAGAAACATGGTGATACTATGATTTTTATTTATTTTCATCCAACTTTATATCCAAGTTCAGTTAGTAAATCCCATTTAGAGTTTATTTTCCTTTGCTGACAGTGTTATTGCTACCTTACTATTTTGTGAGCAAGAAGTTTAGCCAACACTTTTGGGAAATGGAATGGGAATAAAAATGTATTGGAAAGCTCATTTATAACCTTGGTCATTTGGAGATTTTTTTTTTAAAAGATTTATTTATTACGTATACAGTGTTCGGTCTGCATGTATACTGGTATGCCAGAAGAGGGCACCAGTTCTCATTCTAGGGGTTGTGGTTGTTGGGAATTGAACTCAGGATCTCCGAGCCATCCCTCCAGCCCCCCATTTGGAGAATTTTTTTAAAAATTCAGTTGAAATGCTTTTTAAAAAAAATTGCCTTAGACTCAGTGTTTTCCTGATTCAGTCTCTTGAGTAGCTAGAATTACAGATACATACTGCCACACTGACACTTTACAAGTACGGTGATAGTGTGGGCTGCCTCACACCCTGATGTTCATTTAAGTTATATATATGCAAGATAAAACCTCATTGAGGGGGCTGGAGAAATGGCTCAGCGGTTAAGAGCATTGCCTGTTCTTCCAAAGGTCCTGAGTTCAATTCCCGGCAACCACATGGTGGCTCACAACTATCTGTAATGAGGTCTGGTGCCCTCTTCTGGTCTGCAGACAGAATATTGTATACATAATAAGTAAATAAATAAATATTTAAAGAAAACCACCTCATTGAAGGGGTCTTAAGATTTGGAGTGAGATGTAATTTATGAAAATGTATTGAATATGAATATCCTAATATTGAGAATAGGTTGTATCGTTCTTTTGGTTTAATAGTAGACATGTAAATTTTTTATTATTTTGGTTTTTTAGGACAGGATTTCTCTTTATAACAGTCCTAGCTGTTCTGGAACTAGCTCTTGTAGACCAGGCTAGCCTTGAACTCACAGAGATCCACTTGCTTCTACCTCCTGAGTACTGGGATTAAAGGCATACATCACCACCTCCCGGCAAACTCTTTTTTTAAATTTTATTTTAATTGTTTTTTCTAATTTTATGTGCATTGGTGTTTTGCTATGGGTGTCAGATTGGGTTCCCTGGAACTGGAGTTACAGACAGTTGTGAGCTGCCATGTGGGTGCTGGGAATTAAACCCTGGTCCTATGGAAGAGCAGTCAGTGATCTTAACCACTGAGCTGTTTCTCCAGCTCCCAACATGTAAATTCTTGTGGGGAAGCTTTTCATTATTCAGGATCTTCACATAAGACTGTTGGCTCCTTATTGCACTCAGAAAGTGCCCATTTTCCCAGCAGTTGGGAAGCACAGGCAGGCAGATCTCAGTGAGTTCAAGTCAGCCTGATCTACAAAGCCTGGACAGCCAGAACTGTTACAGAGAGAAACCTTGTCTTAAAAAACAAAAACAAACAAAAACAAAACAAAGAAGTGGCAGTTCAATACCTTCGTCTGTGATTAAGCTTAGTTGTCACTCTCCCCTAGTATCTCATCATGAGTCTTTTGTCATTGCCGTTGACATTGTCTAACCGAAGCCCATTGTCTGTTTTTTTTTTTAGTAAAACCTTCAGTGTGTGTATGTGTGTATATCTGTGTACTACATTATAATTTCAGTTAGTCACAAGGCCACATGTACAACTTAGCATCAGAAGATCATATCACCTAATAGTATTATAGTCACTTTAATTTTTTCTTTTTTTAAAATAAAATTAATTTTATTTTTTTAATTTCATCTTACATTCCATTCACAGTTCTCCCCCACCCCTCCTCCCACCTTTCTCCCCTCCCCTCCCCTCCCCTCCCCTCCCCTCCTCTCCCCTCCTCTCCCCTCTTCTCCCTTTCCCTCCCCCAAGTCCACTGCTTATCCATTCCTACCAATGGGTAAGGACTACCCTAGGAAGTCAACAAAGCCTGGTACATTAAGTTGAGGCAGGACTAAGCCCCTCCCTCACTGCATTAAGACTAAGCATGGCATCCCACCATAGGTAATGGGCTCCAACAAGTGAGCTCATGAACCAGGGATAGATCCTGGTCCTACTGCCAAGGGGCCCCTCATGTAGTTCAAGCTTCACCACTGTCTCCCACATATGGAGAGCCTAGTTCAGTCCCATGGAGGCTCCACAGCTGTCAGTCTAGAGTTCATGAATTTACATGAGCTTGGTTCAGCAGTCTCTGTAGATTTCTCCATTGTGATCTTGACCTCCTTTGCTCATATAATCCTTCCTGCCTCTCTTCGATTGGTTCCGTCATTTTAATTTTTATAAATGTACTTTATGGTATTAACTCAGCAACATTTCCGTTCTCTCCTTGTCCTTATAGTGTGTGTCATTTAATGATAAAACTATGCACCACTAGGCTATTTTGTTCAAACATCATAAGATTGTTTGAACTTGTACAAACCCATATGATAGGTAGGTCAAATACTTGATGTCCCTTGCTGCAGTAAAGGTAACCATGAAATGTATGAGATATATGAGTCTGATGCTTGAGTAATGTGACATGCTATTATTCAGTGGAGTTCTTTATTTTATAATTGGAAGGTATAATAACAATATAGAATAACAATAAAAGTATAGTAAACAGAAAGAGCAGTAATAGAGCATTTGCCATCAAGTATGTGCTCTGTTCCTAACTGTATGCAATAGTTTTATATGACTGGCAGTACATTAGTGTTATCTATACTGGCATCACCACAGTGTATGAGTGTATATTGTGCTGTGGCAGCCTAGATGTCACTAGGTGATAGGAATTTGTAGCTCCCTTATAATGTTTTGGGACCACCACTGTAAATGTGGTTCTTATTGATCAAAACATTAATATGAGGTATATGACTATATAATGTAAAAAAATATTATTTAAGTCTAGTGGTGGTGGTGGCGCCCACCTTTAATCCTAGCACTTGGGAGGCAGAGGCAGGTGGATCTCTGTGAGTTCAAGGCCAACCTGGTCTACAAGGACTGGTTCCATGACAGGAACGAAAGCTACACAGAGAAACCTCGTCTCAAAAATTATTTAAGATAGATAATTGATACAGGTATATGACTGTATAATATAAGAAACATTATTTAAAGCTAAGTATCTTGGGCTGGGGAGACAGCTTGGTCAGTGTAAAGTACAAGCATGAGGACATGAATTTGATCCCCAGAGCCCAGGTAAAAAAGCTGGGTATAATGGTGGGTGTTTGTCATCCCAGCACTGGAGGCAGAGACAAGCAGATCCCTGGGACTCACTGGTCAGACAGCCTAGCTTACATAGCAAGCTCCGGGCCAGTGAAAGACCCTGTCCCAGAAAGCAAGGTAGATAGAACCTTGCTGCAGAAAAGGTAAACATGAATGCATAAGATGTATGAGTATGTATGATAGATCTCTCTAGTCTATATGCTTTCTAGCTTACACATGGATGTGTATTCCACTTGTATGTTTAACCTGCATGCGTGTGTGCGCACACACACACACACACAGATTCGTGCACACAGTAGTTATGATGTCAAGGAAGCAATTGATGGCTCTTAACCTTTTATAATATATATTAGGTGATTTATATACATTACCTTATTTAGCCATGACCACAAGCTTGCCAAATAGGTATCTGTATTCTCATTTTATTATCAAGACTTCTTAGGAGTACAAAGTTAGGAAATGGATTTGAAGAGACTGGCCTGAGTGGTGTGACAGATTGTTTAGGTATTCCAAGTAGTCAAGAAGCTCCTCTCCTGGTATAGGTGACCATGAGCTGTTTGCGGGGAAAAGAAAGAGGACAGAAGAATGAAGTTGGCAGAAGTGGAAATGAATTCAGTTTAGACTTTTTGACTTTTTTGTCTTGAGTCTCAGATTTTTGGTAGACATTTTTATTCTTACATTTAAACTTCGTGTTTGTGAAGGAATATAGTGAGAAGTCAGTGCTTTGACTACTTAGATAAATGTTGAAATTATTTCATTGTGTAGACATGGTTATTAAGGGGCAAGACTATTTACTAATAGGCATACTGGAGTGTATGAAATCTCTTAAATTATTCCTTAGTATTATTTGCCCCATAAGCAAAACTGTGTTATTGAAGAGAAATTCTAATATAGAAATTAGCAAAATTATATGTACTCCTATCACTGAATTGAATGAATTCTGATATTTTTATATGTTGGTTGTTCCAGAAATATGGCTACACACACCTTTCTGCTGGAGAACTTCTTCGTGATGAAAGGAAGAATCCAGATTCACAGTATGGTGAACTTATTGAAAAGTACATTAAAGAAGGAAAGATTGTGCCGGTTGAGATAACCATCAGTTTATTAAAGAGGGTAAGGAGCAGGAATATCAACCTATTGGAACTACCAAGAACACAAGAAACTAAATCTACCTTCATTTGTATAATAAAAAATTAGAATGTTAAATTTCTTGATTATGGAAGGTAGTTGTGGTCTTTGAAAATGATGGGAACTGCTTTCACTGTGACGAAATTGGCAGGTACTCTCTGCTTTGGTCTAAGACTAGCTGTAGTCCAGTCTAAGGTACTTGTAGAATTTTTTTGTTTTTAAAACAGTCTCATGTAGCCTAGACTGGCCTGGAAGTTATACCGTCCAGGATCTTCCTAACATCTGCCTGTTAGGATTACAGGTACTTGACCCATCCTTCCCAGCATTCAGTTATTCATCTTCCATTTGGGGTTATTTGCCCCTTTCCTTACACTTTCCTCTGTTTTCCTGGAAATCTTTGTTCTTTCCTTCCTTGCCTCCCACTTGTGTTTTTCTCATTGTTGATGTTCTCTGTTTTGAAGTCTCCTTTTTTACTCGATGAACACATTGCCATATTCACTCAGATCTAAAAAATATATGTTGGTGGGTAGTGCTTTGCTGTAGATCCCCAACACTAGTCAGTAACAAGTATCTTGACATAAAAGAACCAGTGAGATGGAATTGCAGTGTTAGGAACAGGAAGCAATAAGCAGATCCCAGCAGTGAATCCTGGGAATAACTGGAGACACTTGGGGTATAGAGTGTGTAATGGATTAAGTAAAAATGCTGCAGGTTCCCCGAGGGGCAGCAGGACATGAGACTATGCCGCAGGTCCTTGAGCAGCAGCGGGCAGTGGGTCCCAAGAGCAGCCAGTCCCAGCCAGTCCCAGGCCACTGTGGACCACAAGGGGCAGTGAGTCCCAGGCAGGGAGCCGCATGGTGGTTGAGAGACCTTGATGGGACAGCCAGTCCCACAAGGAGAGACAGACAGATGGGCATGTCACAAGACCCTAGGTCTCCAAAGGTGGCTGGTCCCCAGCAGGGAGCCACATGGAGGGTGAGAGACGGAGACATGGATAGACATGCCATGCAGAGTGAGATTGGATATTTATTTAGTGGGTTATGGAGGGGAAAGAGAGAAAGGGAAAAGAGAAGAGAAGGGGAGGGAGGGAGGGAAGGAGAGAGAGAGAGAGAGAGAGAGAGAGAGAGAGAGAGAGAGAGAGAGAGAGAGA